CTGACTGTGGTGCTGGTGGGGGTGTTACGTCCATCCCTTAGGATGCTTTAGTGACTGCTCCACACGGCTCGTTGCTTCTGCAAATTGTCGCACATTCTTAAGGGAGATTCAGCAGGGAGACACTCCAGGCCCAACTATCCCAAAACCTGAACCTGAAACTGAATCCGCCCTTGGCGCTCGTTATGTGGGCGGATGCGTCTACGTCTTTCTGTCTGTCTGTCCCTCTCTGTGCACGTCCTCTGGGAATCGGTCGGGGCAGGGAGGCAGCATTTTGCATTGGAATTTGCTTTGCCGAATGCCGCCATTTAGGGTTGTGCCAATAAAAAAATGATATTTATGGATGTAACGGCCGTTTTGTGTGTACGCCTTCCCTCACCCTCATCCACTCCGGCCACATCCCCTCACACCCACGCGGCCGACAAGCCCACCAGCCCCACAAGCCACAAACAAACGATGGCCGAGCACAGTGGGCGCAATCAATGCATTTATTGACAGAAAGACAACGTATCGAGGTCGCTCGCTGTTAGCTCGGAGAGTCATTTATAATTATTACACATATACAGAGTGCATTATTGTATAATAAATCAATGGGATAGCCAAAGGCATCTTCTGTTTGCCTCATATAAAATACAACAATATTATTTTCGTTGGTTTAAAAGCTTTTCATTATAATTAGAAATATAATTTAGTTTGGAGCTGAATGGTAATGCTAATTCGAGCTGGGAATATCAGAGGAATTTTTTGTTACATTTATTATTTCGAAACTAAATTTCGAACTCTGTAAATGAAATTCCAATTCGAAGCAGCTGTAGTCCGTTGCTTTGCCACTGTGCTGCCGGGGGTTGCCTTTGCACACAAATGAAATCTCACAGACATAACGAGCTCATGACTCTCTGCTGGCAAGGGTTGGGAACGGCATGGAACGGCATGGAACGGCTCGACATTGCACGGCCCAGGACTCGGGACTCGCACACAGAGACACATAGGCAAATACGAGTATATGGAGTGGCTGAGACTTCGGTGGCACATACACATAGAAAAATATGGCACGTACTCCCCGAAAGCCATAAGTTTACGTTTTATATCGGGCAAACTGTGCGATATTATAAATTTTGAATTTTATCTCAGGCATTAGATTGCCAGAGAGCTGCCTGGTTGGCTGCCCCCGACTCGTGTGGCACTCTGGCTGGGTGCTCGCTCGGTTCTCTGCTCGGGTGGCGCCTCGAGCCGCCCCTTTCTTGTTTCGGATTAAATGAAAGGACGTGCTCCTGAGCGTAAGTAGGGGCTGCGACAGACGCATGGACGAAGGAAGAAAGGAAGGAGTGCTTGGGGCAAGGTAATGGATGGCAACAAAGGGTGATTATCGCGATTGGCGAAATAGTTGTGGCACCAGGAGCAGAGCAGGGAAGACAGGGCTGATGGGTGGTGGCAGTGGCAGTGGCAGTGGCAAGGGGAATGCTAATGCCTGCAGGTATCTGGGAACTTTGTGCGTAGTCGTAACTTATTAAACTTACTGTTCTCCCCACATTTTCTCTCCCTCTTTATTTCCAGGACTCAGAGCAGACACCAACTGCCAAGAGTGAAGGTGGACAACGATGGACTAAGAGCACGTCTTATGGGACAAGTGTTGGCTAAACGTCTGAGGTTGTTGCAATCATTTTCGATTCTCCTCCCCATGCTCGCTGCTTCCCCTTCGCACAGGAACAACTGAACACTCTGAAGGAATAAACACACCAACCACCGGGTGCACCCGGTGACAGGCAAAGGAGCAGAGGACGACCGGAAGTCCCCTGGCCATGGGCTGAGCAAAAACGCTTGTGAAACGAGCACACGAGAGAACACGAGCCCCGAGGCGTTACGAAGGCTGGAAAGGAAACTACAATTACGAGGACATGCCGGCTTGTGGGTCCTGCCGTCTAGTCAGTCGCTGCCTTGCAATCGTCGGGTCAACACGCGGAAATCGTTCTCGTTCGCTAGAGTCTAGAACTGATAACTTGGAACTGTGAGCTGGCAGCTGACAGCTGGGAACTGGAACCACATCTGCAGATTCTTTTCGCCTGCATTCGTAATTTCTGTTTCAGCGTTTATGTAGGATGAATCTGTGCGACTTCGTATACGTATACTGAATGTATCCTGAGTGTATCCTATCCGGTATACCTTCAGTATACGTAACACGAGGAAACACCAGCAACGCGGGATGTGACAAACTTTATTAAATATTTAAACTGTGATTTATTCTTGCACTTTGTAACACTTTTCCTTAACACTTTTCACTATGTAATTGAATTTATTGAATTTATTAAATATCACTTAAAAAACTAATCCTTAAAATCGTGTTTTGAATCATTTGAATCGGGTGGTTTTGGGACTTCTTTTCGCACTACCCTGAATGGCTAGAGGGAGCTCGGTCTTGGAAAGCTTTCCATCACTCAACCTGTTGCTGTCGACGACCAGATGGATGAACAGCTGACTTGAACTTGCCTCAGCAATTATGCAACAATGTTGTTCAACGAGGAGTCAACTGTCTGGGACGGCACCGATGATTTATGTGGGGTTTCGTTTAGGGAACTAACTCTTAAGATAATAAATTTGTGTTTGTCTCACGTTTTTGAAAATATGTAGTTCAGTTTATTTATGCAATCAAATTATGAACTAATTAAAGTAATTAAAAGGCGATTAGCGACAAATATTTTAAAAATTTACGAGACTTTAATGACAAAAAAAAAATGGAATGTCATTAAATTAAATTCTATGTGCGTATATATACCATTAAACATCTGTTGATAGCCTCATTATAGCCGCATATCTTAGCAAAATAAATAATTTTGTCTTAAATGCAACAATCTGTCAAAGGAATTTCAAGTTCATCTGAATGCTCGTAAATAATGCTAAGATTTCAATAGAAATAAAAAAAAATATGCATATTTATAACAAAAGAAAACATGATTGTCTAGTTTTGTATGATTATTTCTAAATTTTACTAAATTCGACTGCGACAACGATGACGGCCGATAGCTTAAGCTGGTGAGCGCCACCTATTGCTCAAAAGACGCAGCTTGCTTTTCGATTATTTGGCGCGCGCAATCATATTCGAACAGCGAAGAAGGGTGGGAAGCAATGAAGTTCTTATAAGAAAGAGAGTTGAATAACTGGCGAATATTTGCTATTTACTTATAGATAATTTCCAGAGGAATGAACAACATAGTAATGGTAAATGATTGCCCAGAATTAGATCGAATAATCACAATCACAGTACATACAAAAAAATGTCTGTCTACTTGTCTGTCTCTCCTCTCCTCGTCTTCGCCGTTCAAGGCATTGAACCTCAGCTGGTTGGCAACGGGAAGGCAGCGCTGGAAGGCGAACGTGGAGCATACAAAGTATTTCAGTCTCATATTCAGATGCCCGTCATGGCAAAGGCAACGGCAGAGGGAGAGGTGGGGCATGGGCAGGGGAACGACAGACAACCGCAGAGATAACGAAACCAAAACGAAACTCGCTCGACAACAACAAGTAAATGAATTTATGAGCATGCCCAGCCATGATGGCCGCACCGAAGGAGAGCGCAAAACGGAGACGGAGAGCATTTAATTCGGCCATATTTGATTTTGGAAATGCTGTCATTGCTGTGCTGTGGTTCCTGTTCTTCTTGTATGCTGCCCTGCCCTGCTCTCTGCTCTGTTCGTTTTTCGGGGTGGTTTTTTCTCGCCCGCAGTGCGGCTGCTCCGCTCATCTCTCTGGGCGTTTGCCGGACCGGCATTCTCTCCTTCTCCTTCTCCTTCTACTTCTACTTCTCCGTGCGTATCTGTATCCATTGTTGATTCCGCCGGCCTTTTGCTACTATCGAGTCTAGAGTCTGTCCCATCTTCCCTGTCTGTTCATACATAGTCTCGTTCCATTGTGACACGGCTTTAACCTTTGCTGTAATTTCTTGACTCATAGCTTGCAAAGAACAGTGGGGATGGAGCAACTAATGCCTGCCTTCCTATGTTTCCACAATCAAGTCAGGTTAATCTCTTATTAATTTTACGGTTTCGCTATTGGGGAACTGTGTGCTAAACACGTCATTAAAAACAAATAAATCAACTTCATGTCGTCTGCCGCCCCTTCATCATTCGACTCGAACTTGTCAGACTCACCTTTCAATATTGTATTGAAAGTGTATCGGTATACAGTTCCTATGTATATTTTAATATGCATCGAGAGGCTTATGGGCCTAAATGGCCATCGATTAACAATAAAATTGCCGATTTACGACTGCGCCTATAAAATCTTGATTCGCTGTAGCTGGAGCTGAAGTCGAATCGGTCGCACGTAAACGCTGAGTAGCAGCAAAGTGGGTTGCTGATTGGATAGGGGGTTAGTCTGGGGCTTGCTTTTTCGTGGACCCACTATATTATCTATAAATATCGCTGGTGGAATTTATGGGAGAGTCAAAACATGTCAAAAACTGATTTACGACTTGTGTATGACTTGAAATCGCTAACGAGGCAAAAGAGAATATTCTTCTATTATTGCAAAATAGTTGTTCAGGCTAGTGAAGAAAGAAACAATCAAGGAACTGAGAACCTTTTGGGCTCAACTTGTTTACTATCCATGTACTTGCTTTAATTAATTAAATTCAGTTCCCATTTTAAGCTGTCCGTCGCGGAAACTTGAATGTATATTATCAATAAAAAAATAAAAAAAAGACCTGCCTAATACAAGGCACGCTACATCTACATCTACTGCTGATATTCAAACACGTTCTGTGGTAGTTCCCTCCCTTCCTACTATTTCGTTTCGTGATCGGGCAATCCATTGCAGAAATATAATGCTGATCATTCCGATAATATTTAAGGGACATTGGTTTGGGTCTTTATGACGCTGCTCAAATCTAGAGAAGGAACCATAAAAGTTTGATTGGTTCCCAGCCGAGCGGATGCATGCGAATGTGGGACTATGAGTGCAGATAATAAAATGATTACTTATCGACTGATGGATCAATCGATATCACTTACGAGAGAGTCCAGAGTCCCGTCTGCGTCCCACGTCGAAGAGCTGTAACGAAACGAAAGGAGAGCGAGTGGCATTAAAAATCTTAGCAAGGCAGTAAACTTTTATAAATTGTAATTATTACTCGTACTCGTGCATTTGCAGTTGATCTCTGCCTGATTTGTGCGTCTCGACTTTGGACACTGATAGGGCGCAATGAACTCTGGGAGACTATCATGTGGGACAGGGGACAGACCGCTCGGGTCAGTGCAATTGGTAGGGAGAAGGAGGCACTGGCATTGGCATCAATTTCAATAAGGCGAGGGACAAGATTTTTAGGCGAGTGCCAGTCAGAATCATGACAGACAAGTCTGATGCCTGGGGGCGGGAGACTCCGTAATTTATGCATTCTTTGTTCTGTCTGTCGTGGCACTCACTCATGATATTTACTTTTAAAAAAAACAACAGAAATATATTGTATAAACAATCCAAAACGTGCACTTGGCATGGCAGACAACAGCAGGCACTGAGGGTCTGGGACAGCGATTGCCACTGACCACAGCGTGGCATTTTGAATATGTAAATGCATTTGCACATCGAGGGACAGCGGCCATAAGACATCGGCAAGGGCAATAAATTGAAGCCAAGTGACAGGCGTCATTCCGAAATTCTCCCAGACACGATACGGACTCGGCTCAGGTCCTGTCCTGCGTCCGGATGTGTCATTGGCTGCTATTCGCATTATTGGGGCCCGTTTACCCGTCCCATATGCCGTCATGTGTGTGTTTCAATCTAAGAATAAACAAAGACACACGTCACGGTGTTTGTTGCAACAAAAACAGGGAGTACCGCGGTTGGGCATTTTTTTTGCGACCTCGAAATCATAATTCAACATTTTATAGCTGTTTAAGTGCCATAAAGTCAACTCTTTTTCTCAACAGGCCTCGCCCGCGGCGTTTTCCGAGGCCACTTTCGTTTTTCCTTGAACATTTTCTGCCGGCAATTAAATATTTTGTAATTGCAACTCTTTGACGTAGCAGAACGGAACCAAACGGAACGAAGCGGAACCCAACCATCCCAGGCGATTTGGATTTTTTAGATTTTCACTCTATTTGCGGTGCTGAGTCCACCCACACACACACCACACACACATACATCACCAGCACACCCAAGCATCCATTAAAACTGCTTTATGATCTCTAAAAACGAAAGCGAGAGTTTCGCACAGTTCCGGAGGGCTGGGAGGAAAACATGTGTCAGAGTTTCCTTGCTGCTCTTCATTTTCATTTTGCTTGCCTTCACGAATACGCAGCGGAAGGATTATAGTTTTTATGGGGCACTTTTCTGGCTGTTTGCTGAATTTTGCAACAAATTGTTTTACGACCCCCACAGCAGAGGGAACTAAAATTAGAGCAGAGCGATGGCCAAAGCTAAAACTCTTGCAGATATTATGGAATGCTGGAATGCTGGAAAGGGAATGCGTATTCGGAGGAGCAACAGCACCACAATTGTTATAATTCATTTGATATTTCTTCATTAGGAAACTAAAATTGTCAATAAATATTTGTCCGAGTCTTCCATCTGCCAAAGTGTCAAATGAGTTTTGTTTAAAGCCAAAATCAATATTTTAAAACTATTTCTGGCTCTCATTATGAATTCTCATGAGACAAGAGATTTGATTGCTAATTCTGCGATTTCTGTTCGCTATTGAAAACAAAAGGAATGGCCAAACATCAAGCAAGCAGTTTCAATGCAAAATTAAACAGACTGACACCTCGCTCTTCGTTTCACATGTGCCCAGCTTTTGATAAGAGCAGCCCAAGCCACGCCTCTCCGCTGAATACTTTTTCCCCTTCCTTTCTGGATACCCCTGTGATGGCGAACGGCTGCCATTTACGTATACATATGAATGTGCGGTTCGAAAGCGGCTAAAGTAAACATTTAATTGCGCCATTAATTGCGCGGTAAGTGTGCCAGATGCACACGCCAGCCCTGGGGAGGGATCCACAGAGCCAAGCAGAGTGAGAGAGTTGCTCGTCGAGGGGCGCACTGCCTAGTGGCCAGAGAAAACAAACAAATTCCTCCAGTTAAGTGCCCAGCGGTGCACTCGACAACCACCAGAAGAGTCTCAGCACCCCACTCCGAGATGCTCAGCCCCAGGAGTTCCAGTCTCCAGGCCCCAGCCCGCTGACTTTACGAGCATTTGAGTCTTCCATTAAGGCGCTCCGGACTCGCTCTCTTTCCCGGCTCCCCGCTTTCTCCACTCCTGATCTTCCTTTCGCTCCTCGTGCTCTCTCCCTCGCTCTCTCTTTCTTGCTGAGGCTAATACTGTCTCTGTCTCTAGCTGTGGTTCCACCTTGCAGCCGAGTGGAGTCGCTCGGCAACTACTGGCGCATTAACTTTGTGTTTTTAATGCGAAGAATTATTGTCGATACAATCGACTTTTTACGACGCTTAAGTTGACAGTTTGCTGCGGATGTTCCTGCATTATTGTTTGCTCCATCTCGATGCTCGATCTGGTCGATGCTCCTAACCGTCCAAGACCATTCCAATTTGTTTCATTATTTTTTACAATTTTTTTACAAATAAATAAATTCAATACATGATCTGTTCTGATCTGGGAAGACAAGTAAAATACAAGGAAGGCAACGGCACCAAAAGGGGATTACATGTTTTTACGCATCGTTTTTTTTCATTTTATTTAGGAATTGGCATTAAAAGAATCAATAAGATATTTTGATTTTAGGATTTTACTGAGTGATTGAGTTTTTGCATAAGATAAAACATTGTAGATGGAGTTATGTTGCCAGCAAATATTTTTCAGCAATTAAGAACGAGTTTTCATGTTGTTGCTGACTTATTTCCTGGTCAGAATTTGTTGTCTTTGAAACCAAACTAGATCAAATTAAGGTGGCAACAAATTCGTTTACTTAAGAGCTTGGACCAGCTGAGGAATGAAAGACGTCATCGATCGGCTAGAGAGATGGCGAACAAAGGCCCTTGAGCGCTTATTTTGTAGACACTTCCCAAGTTGTTTCAGTTCTAATAAATTAGACAAATGGATGGAGTATCAAAAACATATGAAACTAGTGTCAGAACAGTCGCCACAGCAACGTAAATGAATACAGTGAGATGCAAATTAAAAAGCGATATTTAACTGATTATGCATTTAGCTAATTATAAAATATATACCCTTATGGTAGCTCGTGGTTGGATTTTATTAAATAAATGCGAAAACACAATTTAAATGTTTATCAAGCAGGTGCAAAGATTTAAACATAAGCATTCGTATGTCTGTAGTGGAGCATTTCCGATTAAAATGAAATCGATTTGCCAATAATTTAATGGAAATTGAATGGGGGAAAGAGCAGGCCGCTCCAGAGCGCCGCTTGTCGCCATTAACTTAATCGAATGGAAAACCAAACAAAAGCCGCAATTAACATTAAGCCCTTCAAAAGGGCAGGCAGGTCGTCAGACTGGCCAGGACCCAACCCAGAGTCCGGTTTGGTAGCGCCTCAGAGTGAAGTTCCTCCATGGCCATGGCCTGCGCCTGCGTTACTCCGCCCGAAAACCTGCGCGGCACGACCCATGGGAATTTATTCCACATAAGTTTGTGTGTGCGAGTGTGTGATTGTGAGTGTGAGTGCTCCTGTTTGCCAATTTAAAATTCTGTGGCATAAGCACACGCACTCCCCTCCATCCACCGGCCCTTCGAGCGGCGGAGTAAGAGAAGAGCCACATTAAATTTTAGAAAACACAAAATGCCGCTTTTCGTGTTACTTGGCAAACAATTTCCCATAAATTGACGTTGAAATACAACCAACAATATGTACAAATGCACCAAGGGGGACTGAGTCCAGGACTGGGACTGGTGGGAGTGGCACGAGTGGCACAGAATGGGCATGTGTGGGAGAGCATGCCAAAAGTTGTGCCTGGGTTTGGGTGTTTCTCCATTTTTTTTGGCAAGCATGAAAATGTATTCCAGACACGCATCGGGCCATTTTGCAAACGTGCCACTGAATGAGGCTCAGCCTGCCCTTGTCATCCGAGCAAACACACAACCGCAGCGACATCCGCCCCCGCACTCAGGAGGACCCTCTACCGTGTACCGTGGACCCTTTGGAGAACTTTCCGGCTGACATTGCTTTTATTTTCCCTCCCCATCACCGGCTAGGTCTCCCTGCCTCCCACCCCCCGCATCAAATCACGAACGGAAAAAGGACAAACTTTCTTTTTGCTGCGAAAATAAGTAAAGTTTGAGTTTGGCAGACAAAAATTACTTCTAGGAAGCTGCCGAGATGGGGAGCAGCGGAGTCAATGCCTCTCCTGAGACCCCAACATAGTTTTCCATATTTGTTCCTTCTTTTTGCATTTTATAATCGCGCCCGCTGCTGAATATATGAAATAAATAAATAATAAAATAGACTAAATGCTCGGGAGCGGGAAATAGGGATGCCCAGCGCCATTTGCTGTTGCCGTTGCCTTTGCCTTTGCCATTGCCTGCTGTTTCATTTACCCTGCCCCGCTCCCAACGAGTACGGAAAAAGTTTTTCCTGTTATTGAAGTTGTTGTTGCTGCTGCTCCTGTCGGTCCAAAGATACTTTGCGTTTGTAACTTATGGATACACGACAGCAGATGGAGCAGCAGCAGCAGCATCAGCATCAGCAAGGTGAGCAAATTGCCAGACACGGAATGAGAACGAGTACCTGGACAGGGGCGTTGCCCACCTTGGGAAGCTGGCGTGTAATTTGTATCTAATCTTGCCTCATGTTTATATAAAAGCAACGACAGCCCGGGCTGGCACTGGGGGAACTATGGTGGCCCACACAATTTCTGCAATATGGCGTTGGCACTGGCGTTGGCTTTGGGAGGAGGGTGTGGTTGCCTGGTTGTCCTTCGTCCTTGTCCAAGTTAGAGACGAGTCTGACTCGGAGTCTAAGTGGAACTACATACATATATTCATGGGTGCTGGGAGAGGGTGGGGCGGAGAGTGCTTGCCGTCGGGTGGGTTTTTGGAATTTTAATAAAATTGCAACATTTCCAACTAAAGATAGATACTTTTCGTG